GGGGGTTCGGAAAAAGGAATGGGCAGGTTTGGAAAGGGGAAGCAGGTTAAAGAGGAGGAGGAGGAGGCGGGGAGAAAGAGGGGGAGAGGAAGAAGGATTGGAGGACATGGATAAAGGGGAGGACGTTGACAAAAAGAAGCGGGAAGGAGGGGGGAGGGGGGGAAGTAGGAGAAGGACAAGCTACGTAAGGGCGCATGCCATGTATGACATCTTACCCGTCCAACCCACCATCCCTTCCCATTGCGCTGTTTGATTTTTGGGGGCCAACAATATGTTACTACACTGGGGGACATTCCATCAACAATTTCACGGGTGGTAGGGCTGGCTACATCTGCTCTCTGGATGTGTGAAACGGCCGGAATTGTTTGAATCAAGTGCTAGCTGCTACGCGGCCAAGCAGGAGTCCAACTGTCCACATCCCAAGTCGGACGAGCCCAGCAACACGACGACGGCGGGCACAACTCCAAGCGAAAGGTCAGATTTGACATTGGGCTGGAAAGCCAGACTGGAGTGTGAGTTGTCACTGGCGACCCCGCCCAGACAGCCAGCAGTAGACATGGACAAAAGCGACCGAGGCCCTCCCCGAAGCAACACAAATCCTGCAGGCGACTCGGACTTTCGAGAACCTTGCCAGGCAGCTCCGAGTCGGAACCGAAGAGAACGCAGAATCCTGGAATCGGCGCCCCAGCATGGGGGCAACAGAGCACCGCGATTCCAGAGGGGTATGACACGGTAGAGACCTGGAGGTTTAAGAGAAAAGGACTTGCTTACTTCTTTGGCAACAGCAGAGGGTATATGTTGATTTGTATTCGGACGCCCAAGTTGTTTGCGCCCCTCAGACAAACGAGATCGGCAACGATAGCGGTCACATCTCGGCGGTGGATGTGCATCCGCCGGAGGATGCCCTGGCGGACCTAGATCATGGCCCCATCGTGCGAGGCGCGATCGGGAAGGACAGCTGCGCACATACCAGAGGGAGCGACCGACGCTCTGCTGGAGTCTGGGACTACGCGTGCACGTAAGGAGGAGAAGGAGGAGGAGGAGGAGGAGCAGGAGGAGGAGGCGGCTGAGCAGGAGGATGAGCAGGAAAGAGGAGGAGGAGGAGGAGGAATGAGGAAGGAGGAAGGAGGGAAGAGAAGGAATAGGAGGAGGTGGAGGAGCAACAGCAGCAGGAGTGATGAGCGGGAGGGGCAGGAGGACCGACCAGGGAAAGGCGGAGAAGGGGAAAGGAGGGGGTCGACGTCGACGAGAAAGTACTCGGTTTCGAAATGTGACTCGCGCTGGGGCGAGAACGCAATCCTGAACGACGGGCGCAAAGCGCCGATCCTATTTCAAAACACCGAGAACGATCCGAATGAACAAAAACATGGGTGATACCCCCTGGTGAAGTCCCGGGAATAGGATCAGTAAACGTAGAGGGCCAGACACTTACAGGACGACGTCGGGGGATAGAGGAGGGTCGAACACATATGAAACTAGGTGCGCTCGCGCCCGCGCCATATCTGTCATCCTACCCCGCACACCCATCCCTTCCAATTGCGCAAACTTTTACGTGTAGATGTTCCCCAACAGTGCCTGCACTTAGGGGCTCTTCCTTCGAAATAACTGGGCCGTGTGAGCGGTCTGGCGGCTATGTTCTGGCCGTCGCCACTCCGTCGCTGCCTCGTCGCCCCCGCCGCCGCCCCGTCGCCGCATCGTCGCCGCCCGTCTTCTGGGCCGTGTTGGCGCTCTGGCGGCTATATTCCCGTCGTCGCCGCCCCGTCGCCGCCTCGTCGGCGCCCGTCGCAGCCGTTGAACGAACCCGAGTAGGTTGCATGAAAAATCAAATTCTCGCTTGCCTCGCGCTTTTTGATCGCCCACACATATATTGCACCCGTATAGATTGCACATATCATTGCAGAAGCACCTAATTTCGACCGCATTGTTCAGTCAACATGAATTTTCCTCTCGTAAACAACATGCGATCTACCACCATCCCCCAGAATTAACTGGCCATCCGTTTTCCCCGTATTCATCGTATATGACTATGCACACACGCCCATCGGAAATATGAACTCATATCCTTGCAGGCAGTCCGCTTATCGACCCATCGCGTCATGTGCAAACAAGACGGGGAGCTCTGTACATTGAAGTAGGTGGGGGAGGAGGTGGCGGTGGAGCAGGACAAGGAGCAGCCAGAGGAGCAGGAGGAGGAGGAGCAGCAGCAGCAGCGGCAGCGGCAGCAGAATTTGGAGCAGGAGGAGCAGGATGTCCAGGGGAAGGCGGAGGAGCGGGTGGGGACGAGGACGTGGACAACGAGGAGTTCGAGGAGGGGAACGACGACAACGGCAGCGGCGCGGAGGCAGAGGAGCCTTGGCTTCGCGGACGTAAGCAGGGACCTTGGCCTGGTCCTCGGCCTCTCCGAGGAAGCCGACGAACCCCGCGCAGCCGACGTCGGCGAAGAGACGCCGTCCGCGCCCTCGTGGCCGATGGAGCAGCCGCTGGAGCTGCGCCGCAGGAGCTCCCTTTCGGGAGGGTACTGGACTTTCGGCTGGCACACACACCGATCCGATCCGCAACCTGGCCCCCCATCACGGGCGAGAACATGTCCACATGCATGTACTCGCGGTCTGGGTTCCGGGGCGCAATCCCGCTGATACGCAGAACCGCATGGACACGGTCCGCGCGGAGCATCTGCGAAGAAGAAACGTACCCATTGGGTCGCAGCCCATGGCCCCAGCCTGCGAGGCCGTGGATATGGATATGTTTCCCGTCCACGAACCTTTAGATCCGACGGCGCGAAAATTGCACCATCGTGGAAAAATCCCGACCGGAGACCAGCACCCCATCTTTCTGCTGCTTTTCCTCCAGCCAAATCGATCTGCGAGGGCCGCGGGGCCCGAAAATCCCGCCGCGACGCCAGGATCTCGAAACACTTGCAACGCAAGGATCTCGGGGGCGGCCCCGCCCCAACCTGCACGCACGACGACTGCCAAGAGCGTACGGTGGCAAATCCCCACGAGCCTGGCACCGTAGACGTGCAGAGCCGGGAAAGGCAGCCCGTCCTCCCATTCCGCCATCCTTGGGGGGATGGGAGGACGGGCCGCCACCTCCGAGCCGCTTGTCGGAGCCGCATCGACCTGTGAGGGTACCAGGGTCCGGTGCCTGGCGAAGGCGCCCGGCTCGAAAGAGTTGGGATGCCAGGACCTCAGTGCAAAAAAAATGATCCAAGCAACAAAAGTACCCCTCACACTTTGGAAGGGGACCTAAGCTTGGAAGGCCCAAACACATTAGGGACAGGGGGTCTCTTTTTTCTGCTGATGCACACCGCCGGGAATCATGATCCCTGAAGCGAAGACGGGGGCCGAAGTGAGGCCACGTGGGGGGGGGGGGGGGGGGGGGGGGACCCTGCTCCGGGCGGAGCGAGGCGAGGCGAGGCGAACACCGGCGCTGTGCGCGCTCCTCCGGGAAAGACCGCCCGTGCTCCCTCGGGCACGGCGCGGAGGCCGTGGCCTCAAAGATGGGACGCGTGGGCGGACTCGCGCAGCGTTGGCGTGGGCAGCCAGCTCGGGGGAGGGGGGGGGCCGAAGACGGGGACCGAAGCTAGGGGTTCTCTTGTCCTCAATGAAGAGGAGCCGCCTCCAGCGCGCGCGCTCCGTCCGGCGGGCCGGCCCCCCCGAGGGCCCGGGCGGACCAGGCGGGCGAGGCGCCGCAGCGTTCCTGGGGCCGCACCGCCGCGCGGCAGGCGCTGTGCGGCGTGGCCCAGGCGACGGGCGGGCTCCGCCGCGTGGGGGCCGCGCCGCGTGGGGGTCACGCCGCACGCCGCGCGGGGCACTTCCGTCGCCCCGTATCATTAGGATACGCGGTAAGACATTTTTTTTGAATCGGCGATAACCCGGGTTATCCGCGGGGGGGGGAGAGGGGGCCGGCCGATAACCGAACCTTCGCTCTGTGGGCAGCTCTGCATATGCCCGCGCGCGCCCCCCCCCACACTGGACCTGCACAACAGACAAGGTTAGGTTATCCTGGGAAAGGGGGGTGAGGAGGGGGGGCAAGCCCGATAACCCGGGTTATTGCCCGACCCTAAAAACAAATAGTCTCCAAGGATGGAAGGGCCTTGGAGGCCCATGTGAGCGCTTTTAGAACGAGCTTGGCCAGCGAGCGTCGCTAAGGATGGGCCGCAGGGGCAAGGATGCAAGGGTGCCCTTAGGAAGGTTGCCCATCCTTGCTATGCGGACTGACTCTTTGTGGTCTGCGGCGAGCTGGGCCCAACAGGCGGGCAAGCAAACGGCGGGCCCCGAGATCCTGGCGCCGCAAGTGTGTGGTAGAGCCGGGCGTCCTCGCCTTCCTTTCGGGCCCAGGGGCCCTCACAGATCCATCCGGCCGGGCAAGTGGCAGCGGGGAGATGGGGTGCCAGGCCCTGGCTGCATTTTTCCACGCGGTTGCACTTCTTCCGCAACCCCAGACCCCCGACGTCATGTTTTTTTCATTACGTTGACCCCTGGAGGTCTCGACTCCTTCCCCTGGACGGGTTTTTCACCCCAGGTCGCTGTTTGACGGTCTCGAGGGCTGGGAAGGGCCCCCAAAGGCCGAAAATAACAAAAAGAACCCTCCCGTCATGATTTTCCATTGCCCGAGGGAACGGAACCAAACAATGACATAAACAGAAAAACTCGGAGCTCCGCGCGGATTTCTCGGATCGGCACTGGGCCCATCTCCCTGGCGCGCGGAGCGCGCCAGGGGCGCCGCCGGAGGCGCCGCCAGGGGGGGGGGGGGGGGGGGCGAACGCCGATCCGAGAGGTCCGCGCGGAGCTCCGAGCTTTTATGTTTATGTCATTGTGCGGTTCCCTAGGAGGGGCTTTGGGACGGCAGATCGGAGGGCAGCCAACGGCGGGGCGCACCCGCTGCGAAGGCGGTCGCCAAATCCATGGATCGGGGGAGGTGCCCTCCCCAAAATGCGGCCAGCGTCGCCTCGCTCGGCGGCGGAAATCCGCGATTTCCCATGGAAACGGGACCCGTCGCTAATCCACGCCCCCTCAATCCATGTTTGCGATCGCCTGACATAAATCTGGGACGGTAGATCTGAGGAAAGCCAACGGCGGGACGCACCCGCTGCGAAGGGAGGCTCAGGGCTTTGTTGTTCCCATCGTAATTAAGGACCACATCCCAGAATTAATTTCGAGCTCCCAAGACAGTATCGAAACAGTGTTGAACGAGTATCGCCTCCAAGGGCCCGACACGTGAAATCCTCCAGTTCCGGTCCTTTTTTGGTGCTGGAAACTCTTTCTGGTGCTCAAGGCGACTGTAGGTTGGAACATCATAAGCACAGGGGCGCCGCCGGGCGGGGCGCACACGCGGGGCGCGGCCTCGCGCCTCGCGCGCGCGCGCCCCACAGGGCGCGCGAGGGCGCGGCCGCCGCCGCGCCCTCGCGGCGCGCCCCCCCTGCAGGAGGCGGTCGGACATGTCCCCCTACAAAAGAAGAAAAAAAACAGATCGTCCCCAGACGTGCTTATAAACTATGTTTGAACACTCCTCCTGTAGAGGGACACGCCCGACTCAACTCTGGCCTCGAGCCACCGGGTGGCTGCCACCCCTGGGTCTGCGGCGGGAGGGGTCCAGCAGGTGGCAGAGCAGGCGGCGGGAGGCAGCCGTTGCGACTGGAGAGTCGCATGGGCTCTCGGGACCTCGCGCCTCGCGCCCCGCGGCCTCGCGGGGGCGCGCCCCTCTTCGAGCCTGGAGGCGGGTCTCTACTCGGGCCCCTCAGAGCGCGGGGAGCGCGGCAGTCTGCGTGTGAGCAGGGAGGAGAGGGAGGAGGAGGGAGAGGGAGGAGGAGGAGGAGGAGAGGGAGGAGGAGGAGGAGGAGGAGGAGGTGGTGGTGGTGGTACTGCTATCGATCAGGTTGCCCCCAGTGTTCGTGAGCAGACGAGACAAGAACAGAAGTTGTGCTGCAGTCGGGGCCAGCATGATAATTTTGCTGATAGACCTGCGCACAAGCTGACATACGGCCCCCCTGTGGGGGCTCGCCGACCCCAGGCTGCTACTGCTGATCCGCCGCTCCCTGTGCATGGGCCATTGCCCCGCCGGGATGCCGACGACAAACCCCCTGGCCTTTGGCAGTGCTCCCCTCCACCCCTCCAGAGGAATTGTATCCTCGTCCTGGATGGCCATGATGGATTTGAGTCCCCCCTTCAATGCGCCTTGCTGTACTGTGTCCCCTCCAATGTTGTGTGTGACGTTGTGCGGATCAGAAGTTTTGAGCATCACCATGTCATGGATTGGGGTCACCACGTTACGTCGTTGAGGGTTCATGCTATCCTTGCGTCTCCTCTTGAGTCTTCTTGGGACCCGAGGCGCTATTCCAGCAAAGGGGGGTCTGGCCTCTGGAGACCCCTTCGGACTTTGTCGGCTCCTGAAAGCATCGGCGCCCTTAGTTAGAGGGAGCGTCAGCTTGTGCAGGAGGGCAATCGAATGTGGAGGATCGTGGGCCTTTTGCTTCATGCTGCTGTCCATGCTCGAGTGCCTTTCCTCCTCACCAATCGTGCTCTCCCATCCACACTGCCTTCTCCCTGGAGCCGTGACGACATCCGTGCTGTCCGAGGCAGTGCTGGGATCACTTGTCTCACTCGCACCTCCCAGAGGCCCATGGGGAGCATTGTTTCTCAGGCGGTCCTTGCTTGCTTCTGGTATGCATTTAGATATCCTTGACTGGCAGGGAGACCATATTGAAGACGGCGCGAGAGGGGGTTGCCGCTCGTCTTCGTTTGATCTCTCTGTTGCCGCCTGTTGTTGGCACGCTGTTCTTGCCTGGAGCCTCAGGGGAGAGGATCCTTACGGTGGTGTGGGTAGCGTTGACGAGAACAGGGGGACTGTTCGGGGGTACACCAGCGGCGCCCCCCCCCCCTTCTGATGCATTGACTTTTTAGTCTGCACCCCATTTTCTTTAGGAAAGGCTGCTTGAACCAATTGCCTACAGGCCAAGAGAGAGAGAGAGAGAGGAGGAGGAGGAGGAGGAGGAGGAGGAGGAGGAGGAGGAGGAGGAGGAGGAGGAGGAGGAGGAGGAGGAGGAGGAGGAGGAGGAGGAGGAGGAGGAGGAGGAGGAGGGGGACAAGGACGAGGAGGAGGAGGAGGAGGTGCGAGGGGAGCCCAGGCGGGGGCGGCCCGGGCGCGCTTGCGAGGATGCGGGTCCTCGACGCCGGTGGCGCTCGGCGAGGGGCGAGGAGCCGAAGCGGGCGTTGCGGGGATAGACAGGCGCGCTGGCTTGGATCCATTGCATCGGGACAAGCAAGCTCCACTGCATCGGACAACGTTGTTTTGGGGGGCGTTTGCGAGTAGGCACTCTGCGAGTAGTGGAACGTGCTCGGTGAAGGGAGGCGAGGAGGTGTTTTTTCTGATGCTTCGCGATGGCCGCCCAGCCCCCCGCCCCCCACTCCCGGAAGGCGAGGCGAGGAGGGGAACTCGGCTACCCAGGAAGCCCAGTGCCGGGGGAGACTGGTCGAGAGCTCAGCCGGCCCGATACGCACC